AAGAAAGCCAGATGGTTATCAGGTTCTCACTAAATACCTCCTATTCCTGAGCAGAGCAGAAGAGAAACCAGCCAAAGACAGCTGACACATGCACCTAACCAAAGCTAGTCCTCTAGTCCCAACATAATCTGGATTCAAGCCAGCACTGGGAGATGAAATCAGCTCACAGTCACTGATAGAGGAACTTCCTCTGTGAAGAAAAGGCTGGTATCTATTCTTATCTTCCTGGGCCATTTTACATGGCTAAGGTCTCAGGAGAAGTGATGGGAATCTAATGTAATAAGGTATAATAGACTGAGTGAGTACTTCTTCTGAGGGGGAGCATCTAATAGGTGCTCACAGAAGACTGAACCTGCACGTCTCTTGCAGAAATGTGAAGGGCTGGCTGACTCTGTGATCCTTCTTAGCAGCCATATGCAGCCCCTGAGTAAACTGGTTAGACCAAGTGAGCCCAACACCAGCAATAAGCAGGGGAGACATAGCTTTACCCACCATGAGATACAGACATTTCCTGTCACCAAATCAACCAAAAACTGTGGCAAGGTCAGACAAGATGAAGAAAAGTAAGCAGGAGTCAAACCTGAGCATTGTCTCTATGCCAGCGGTGGGCAGAGGAAAGACAGTGATGAGTCTAACACCAGAGAGCAGTGTTATTTCTGTAATAGGTCCCCACCCTGTGATCAGTTCATCCTGCAGATTAGGAGAGCTTGGCTTGTCCTCATTGATGCTAAGCCCTTCCAGCTTGGTGTGGAAAGCTACAGGAGTCCCAGCAGATGCCTCCAGATTTTCCTTACCCACCTTCCTCCAGGCTGGCTGGAAAGTGTGTTAAACCAGAATGAGACTAAAATGAACAAACGAAACAACCCCAGGATTTCCATGTGAAGTCCAGTCTCCCCAGGCATCATCTTCCTCTATTATGCTCAGGCAAAAGTGGGCCAACTTTTTTCAGTCCTGTCTGTTGAGAAAGAAAGAAAGGCAAAAAATCCTTCTTTCCTGACAGATTCAGTCCAGTGTTATCATAAATTGTCTGTGTTCCTAGATCCTGTTTTGAGGGGCTGAGAAGCAGAGGAGGTCAGCTGGCAGTCTGTGTCATCCCATGCTACAAGGTTCCTATATCCTGTTGCCTAAAGTAAAAACAACTTATTTTTTTCCCAAAAGTGAGAATTAATTGAGGTAATAATACATCAAGACCAACCACACATTACACTTCAGCAACACTGATCAGCAAATCAATTTCTGTTCACTCAGAGTAGCACTTTTGATTTCTCTGCTGAGGCTTCAATGGTCTGAAAAAAATGCTTTCCAAAATTCTCAGGATGAAGGCTGTGGCTGGCAATTATATTCAAGGGAGCCAGGCAACTATCTAGAAAAGGGGTGCAGCTTCTCCGCGCAAGAAATACAGCGTCTGTGGGGGCTGAGTCAGGTAATGAAGTGAAGTATGCCAGTAGGTAGGGACCATTGCAACCCTGGCACATCGTTCTTCCAGACAAAGCAGGTTGCTTTGACTCTGTCATCTCTATACATATAAATACATGTAAATATATGTTTAATTTTCTTTAAAATCCCTTCTGGAACAAGACATGTCACTGCATTCATTTCCATTCCCCAAGTGCGGAAAAGAGGAGAGAACAAACAACACATGACAGATGTTATTCATATCGCATAAAGTGCTGTTGGAAGACATTCAGATACTAAGAGATAATACCTGTAAAAATCTCAATAGAATAGACTTCACAGTAGATCTCACATGTAAGACACAGCCTAACAAGAAAGATTGGTCAAGGCTTCCTTCACATGCACTGCCTGCTCCCCCAGACTCAGGGGTGGTGGTCCCATGCATTGAGGACCACACAGGAACATCCCTGTTCCAGGAATGCACCATGTGCGCAAGAGGATGCACACGGCATGGGAGCTGTGGGTGGTGTTAGGAGTCTGTTATCTGGAGAAGATCAAATGCTGGGTTTCTCACATCTGCCTGAAGCACGCTGACTTTGGTGGAAATGCTTCCTTTCAGCCTCTGTTGAACACTTCTGTCCACCATATATTAGAAGCAAGATAGGATTTGTAGAGAGAGGTAAGTCCTCTTATTAGGCAGCTGGAAAACACAGCAAAGCTTTCAGGCACACAGGATGCCTTTCCTATCCCAGACAGGAACCACAAGCTTCAAGCAAAACACAGGCTTGAACCAGCTGCCCTAAGTTTAACATGCTAATGTTAATCAAGCAGACGATTTCAGAGTAACGGTGGCTGGTATCTGCAGAGCCAAGGAGGAGTGTTAGCAAAAGATAGTAAGGTTAAGAGAGTGAAAGCCAAGTAATTATCACCTGAGGAACAATGAGACATTGTAGGGCAAGGGACGAGGAAAAGCATAATATGACATAGATCCCAAATCTTTTTAGTATCCAGCAAGATTTTGAATATTATCTTGACTTGTCTTTTGAAGATATCTTGCCATTACTATAAAGAGAAATGCATTTAATGATTTTACTTTGTTGAGATGAAATAAATGCTTGTAATGAAATAAATCCTTCAAACCAGTGATGCTGATTTTGTTTAATCTTCTTGCCAACCCCCACGTAAAACCAATAGGGCTGATCCTCTTTCCATTGAAGTCAACAGCAAAAACCTGTAACAGCTTCAGTAGGAACAGGATTAGACTCTGAATTAGGACCAAGAACACTGTTCACTCACCTGTCCCAAACACTGCTCCTTCTGAAAAATCAGATCCAATATCACCTAGAACAACTGAGTTTTTCTTAAGCAATCTTTTATAACATTAATGGGCAGCCCTTCAAACAGCCATTGTGGATAAAATTTAATGCTGGTAGGTATACAGCAGCAGTTTGGAAGCAGTAGGTTAATGTTCTTGCTGTGTTATTTGACTTTCTTGGGGTTTTTTTTAATTAGAATTTACTTTTCAACAAGGAGATGTTTACGACTGAGTCAAGTGAGAAGAGATGTACACAAAAGCACTGCCATAATTGTCTCCTGCTAGCCCGTCCCTTGGAACAGTCAATAAAATCACCTTTTCTCATCAATCCCCATATAGCCTCAGAGCCATGCACAAGCACTAGGAACCATCCCCAAACACTGAGTTGGCACTTTCCCTTCTGCCTTGTATCTCATCAAATTATTTTTCTTTCCAAAACTCTATCTTTCTATCCTGAAAGAAACTATGTGAGATTTGATAAGTTTCATACTACAAGTGTGGACTGCTGAGGCTAGCACCCTGCCAGGAGTGGCAAAAGCATTGGAGTGATGCTGCCAAGTCCTGAAAAAACAGGGTGGGTTTTTGCTGCTGGTTATGGAGACAATTGTAAAGAGGGAGTAGTTACTAACCAGGGGTAATTTTATCCTGAGAATGATGAAATTTGGGGTTGCCCACATGTCAGAGGAGACTTAAACCAACCCTGACCTGATTTTGTGGGTTCTCAGCCTGTTGCTGGTTGTGGTTTTAAAATCTTGCAAATTCAAACCTGTCTATCCTGAAATCTCCCAGTCCCAGCTGAATGGATGCCAGAAGCCAGGGCAGTGGAAGCAGAGAAACTTTTCAGGACAGAGGGAAGAAATTTAAACCTATGTAGGAAGTCCCGCCAAGACTGAGGCTAAAGAGTTTCTATCTAGAAGTCTTTAAAAATTACAAGAGAATACAGCTGAATTGTCCTTTCATTTCAGATGAGGTCAGCAGATTTTCTCAGATCCCCTCTTTTCCCAGATGAATTAATTTGTCCTTAAGTAAAAGATTTTCACCGAATATTGGCAATGTTTCTAAGTATATCACTGTCATTGCCAAAACTGAAATTTCTGAGCTTCAGCTTGGATATGTCCTTTATGAGTTTCACATATTCTGCCTCAGAACATCTAGCATCTATAACTTTCAAGAAATGTAATGACCCAAAAAGGGAAGAGTAGAAGGGAGGGGCCAAAACTGCATTTGATTATTTTATGAATCCTTCAGAACACTCAAAGCAAGGCAATATTACTTATGATAACATACTGCTTGGATATGGTTAGTGTACGCAAAACAGCATACTGGATGCCAGGTAATTTTTCTAATACTATGGATGATAGAACTTGTTTGGAACACAAGCAAAAGCAGTGTGTCTCTACTTCAGTATTTTATTTGGGAGCAGGAACATGCTTTGAAGTGAATCTCATGCTGATCTACATCATACAGCAGCCTCAGGATGTGTGAACTAGATTCCTTATGGATGAGACAAAGCCAGTAGCACCTAATGATATACAATTCACTGTCTACAGGATGGCCAGGCTGTAGAAGCAGATTAGAGCTGGGTCTTCTCCATCGAAAAAAAAAACTTGTTAGACCACTGCCTCATCAGGTTCAACTATTTATTGTATATCCCCCACTTATCGTCTCACATGCACATGTAAATGACTGCCAACAGAGAATTTCTGAGCCTAGAAGAGTAAGGGAAAATCTTGCTATGAAGAGCAAGAAATGCAGAAATCTTCCCAGGTATATTTTGATATTTATGCTTGTAGTCTTCAGACCCACACAACACAGTCATGTTCTTAGTCCTGCTCATGGGACCACTTCATGGAGAGCAGATCTGATTTAGACTCACTTATGAGTCACAAATGGTTGAAGGTTGGGAGAGCACTCAGGGGAGACCATATATGTTGCACTGTCCATATGGTCTCCTCTAGGCATCTGCTTTTCTCTTCTGTCAGAAATGAGATACTGAGTTAGGTGGGCCTTGGGTCTGACTCAGCTTGACCACTCATGTTGCAGGAGTTCTCAATGAACTCTGGACGATACGTCACCCTGGGCTGGTCACTCCTCTCCTGGTACCATCATTGCTGCCTTTTTCACCATGCAAATGGCATTCAAATCTCTGATACCCTCAGGCTCTCAATTTTTGACATGTCTGGCAAAAAATGCCTTGAACCTAAGGCTGTCATTTCATTGCTGATTTTGAAAGTTCATGATCCAAATCACTCTGCTTATTGCCTGTTTTATTTTGTTTTTAAAGGACCTACCACCTTCAAGATCCTGAACTTTCCCCTTCCGTTAGGAGAAAGAGAGCAGGTAAACAAAATTATCCACCATGTTTCTTTTTTTCCACTCCAGGCATGTTTCTGAGTACTTTCACCACATTTGCCATTTCAGCTGATCAATCAGCCTGCAGAAGTGACCATTCACTCTATAAAATGAATGGATGAAAATGAGGCACAGCTAATATGCATTTCGTCAGAGGTGTTTGCCCACAGACATTTTCCTTTTCAATCTTAAATAAATATTATCCATAAAGTTCCTTGTCCTCCTTTTATTAAAAGCACAATTTGTCACCTCAGAAACATCTCTTCCCCGCTGTCTTCTAGAAAGATCTATGCTACCTTACAGTGGCTGAGAATCTGGCCAGTCTCCAAAATTTTACACTTGTAGTTCAGTACCAAGCACTTCAATGAATCAAAAGAACCATAACTTTCAGAGATAAAATAGCAATTCACTCAGTAAGTTCATTTTAGTGGGTGAATAAGAGAAGACGTGTCTTTTTGAGAAGATGGGGGGGGTAGTTTTGCTAAGTCTATTTTACTGTAAGCCTGCATATTTCTTAAATATGTATTTTATTATTTTGTTATTCCTACGGTTGTAAGGCTAATGTTTAATTCCTTGCAAAAATACCTATATTAATTTTAGGGCAAATCATGTATTTGTTGTAGGAAGAAGAGATAAGGAATTACTCCAAACCAAAGGAAGTGTGCTTGTTAAACAAAAAAATGTGTTAATTGTGGTCTTATTCACATACCTGTGTGACTGATCTTCAAGACAGTTTGTATGAAGGTGCTGTGCACCTCCAGAAATGCTCTTTTTTTCAAATATAAAAGATATTTCTAAACTCAGTCATAAAAATATTTTAAATATATTCTAAATATATTCTTTCTGAAAATAGTTATTTCACTGAGGACAAGTTTCCCCCAAACCTAATGGCAAAGTCCTGATTTAGTAGTTATAATTAGTCCAGAAGCTGCTAAAGGGTAAAATGTATTTGCACACATATTCATTCAGACTTACAAGGAACAGACCTATTAATATTATAATTTGTGCAAAGACAAATCTCAAGCAGAAGAAAGACAAAAATATAACAAAAGAATTGTTCTCTGCCAATTATTTCTCCTTCTGCTTGTTTTAGTGTGAGAAAATAGGTCAAACTTGTTCAAGAGCACATAAGGCTGAACACTGAAAAAGAAACAAACAAAAAACTAATGTTTTGTGAGGAAATTCTGTCCTGGACATTTGGAGAAGTAATCTCCCAGACTTACATATAGGAAATTCCATTTTTTTAGACACCTGAACTCTATGTTTGAGCTATGTTACAATTAACACACCCCTCCAAAAAGCTTGCAGTGCTGCAGCAGGATGGGTTTGTCTGCATACTCCTTTCAGACCCAAAGTCATCCCACACTCCTGCTCTCTGCATGCCAGAGGACCCCTTCCCGCTGCCCCGGGCTTCCCTGGAAACCCACTGCCAACAGGAGCTTTGTTACAGAAAGCAAGCCACAGCAGAGACCTTCATTCCAGCCCACGTGGCCTCTCCTGACATACCATGGAGAGAAGTTCAATGTGTCAAACATCTCCCCTTCGCCTCTGTCCCCAAACCAGCCTGCAATTTTCAAGAGCCCACAGGTGATGTTGGGATCTTTGTGAACTTTGCTTGCAAAAACGGGGAGTTGCAGAAAAGGAGGTCCCCTCCTTGGACCTCTGTGGGGTACGGTCTGCCCCCTGCTCACTGCAACCACAGTTTTCATTTGCTTTAGCAGACTGTCACCGATCAGTATCAGGAGGCTCTGACTAGAGGCAGAACGAGCGCAGAAAGCTTACTTGGAAAGAGCCTTCAGGTTTCTGAGATAATCAATAGGAATAAACAGCTTTGGGCCATAAAGATAAGATTAAAGTTGCACAATATAGTGAATAGGATGCAAGGGCAAAGTGGTATATGGAGCCTCCCAACAATAGCTCGCTCCGTCTGCATGTGGAAGTGCAAGTCAAGCTCTTTCTTTCCAAAGCAGTTTGCTGCCTTTTTGCCATTCCCACTGACCTCAATATCCAAACTCCCTGTGACTGTTCTCTGTCCCAGTGGTGATACTCAACTCAGTGGAGTTGCTCTGTATTTACAGCAGCAGAGGACCCCAGCCCCGCAGTGCACTGATGCGTGGACTTGGGTTATTAGATGGTTATTAGACCTATATAGTGCCAGTGTTTCTGATGGGACCTTCAGGTGCATAAAGCCAAGTGTGCAATTAAATGATTCACTGAACTGTCACCTCTCTGCCAGTCAGCTTTGACACCGTAGAGCAGGTATCCACCCAAATTTCTTACAACAAAGATGTTTTACATGCTCAATGCCTATGTGAAGGGAAGTGTTCCTATAGCTATTTTTCCTACTGTAATTATGATGAGGGCTATACTTAAATAACTAGTTGGGGGTCCAAGTGTGTGCGTGTATACAAAACACCTTGATGACATGAATGACTGAGGAGGGTAGAGCAGAAACTAGGGAGGAAAGAACTGTCACTATGCACAGAGGTGTAGGTATTTCTAGGCCCGTGACAGAAGAGGTGGGATGGGAAACGGTATGCAAAACAATTGCATGTATGCCTTGCTCAAAACTGTTTCTGTCACTAGATTCAAGGCAGATTCATTTCCAGTTCTGCAGCATTTACTATTTTGCTGTGGCATTTCCTGTTCTGACGTATTTTTGCCCAAGTTTTCATCAGCATCATTTCAAGGAGAATGATGCATTTCAAACAAAACATCACTGAGCTCTACAGTGTTCGGTGTTTCACTCAAAGACTTTTTATGAGGGGAATATTTTTTCACGCTAAAAATGTAAGATCAGTTCTCATAATAAATTTAATAAAAGGACTGCATGGAATATAGTGCCTACACATTTGATCTGAATGTGCAAAAAAGGAAGACACAGCAAAGAAGCTAATTTTATTGTAAGGCTTATTCATCAGTGAAAAAGAAATAAACAGACATTAAAATACTTATCATCTAGCTTTTGGTGGCTAAAAATGAGGTGTCTAAATCTTAGCTAGTCACCCTTGGCTTCCTGGAACTGACGGAGAAAAATAGACATCTCCACAAGAATGAGCCACTTCATCCCAAGGTATGCATGAGTAGGGTATATCCCCAGCCAAACGGCTTCTGTCACATACAAACACTAGCTCACCCCGGGGATTGCCTACCTCTTTCGGTTGGAAATAGGGAGAAATTACAAGGTAGATTTTATTTAAGAGAAATTTTCATGCTTTTGAAATCAGTTATTTTCTTTTGTTCCATTTGCGATGCCAAATTCCTTTCTCTTGTGGATCAACCCAATCTCATTTAACATCATCTGAGTCAGATGATTGTTTTAGGATACCCCTAAAAAATTAAGCAAGTGCAGTTGCTATTTTGGAGTCACCATTTCTGAAACACTTGCACAAAGACAGTAGGTGTGGGGAAGACCCTGACTCTGTACCTGCTGTCAAAGAACAACTACAGGGAGCACCAAAAAGCCGACAAAGAGGAGGCAGGCAGATGTGTCCTCGCACTGCAGTTGCACAGTTTTCTAGGGTACAACTGGGTAATGTCCTGCTTTCTGTAGACAGCACTGACATAGCCCAGAGAAGTGCCCCAGTTACTTCCAGCAGCTTTGGTCAGTAATGTTGATAGGTTCCCTTACTCGCTTCTGAAATTTGGATGAGTTATTTGGGTATTTAAATATGCAGTTAAGATCCTAACTGCAATCACCTGTCTTAGAAAAATTCCACTATGGATTTTAGCATTTTATTTATTCATAGCTGGCAATGATTTTCCTGGTGGTTTGTGGAGGTTTGAAGTTCAATGCAAGAGTGTGTCTTCAGTACATAGGTTTTTCAGGCTGACTCCCTCATCTGTAACACTGAAGCAGAAAATGTGCAAACATAGAGATAAGCAGCAGACAACAGAGATAAGAGGTACCAAGCGTCCTCTGAAATTTCAGGGTCAGTAAAACAAAGCAAATGTAAATATTGAAAAGGATGTTCAAATACTAATATACAGCATTATCTCATTTGTAACTATTAGATGTAAGGTGATAAGGGTGACATTTAAACCAGCACAAAGAATAAAAAGTTCACGAGCACCAGCCCATTTGAATATGTTTTGCTAAATTTAAATTACTTCAGTATTAACAACTGTCTTTAAAAAGGATGTAAAATACCATTGACCTGAACGTAGAAACTCTCTCATTTAATTCATTTTGTGTTTTTTGTTACTAAAGGCAATAGAGTCATGGAAATCAGCAATGCATGAAGAAAAATTCGTAAAACAAAAAAAAATACAGTTACCAAAAGGATTTAACCTGGAAAATGCAACATCAGTCCTGAAAATTTCTCCGCAAAAGGAAAAAATCTCTTTTGCAGTTTAATTTTTTTAAAAATGCAGTCCCAGGAATACATAAAATTAGACATAAACATTATTTATCAATTTTCGTACTTAGTACTCTAAAAGGTTTGCAGCAGTTCATCCAGAAATTACAGAATTGCTCCATGAAACTGAATGCTTGTGTTATGCTGGATGTCTTAAAGTCTATTAGTTTTATTTATCTTCAGATTTACAAGATCACAAGATGCCAGTCTCACCACAGGCACTGCTAAACAGTCCATAAACATCAGATGTACTTGAACGTTGTCGTGATTCTTCAGGGTGTCAAATTTTCACCAATACTCAGCAAAAAAATCTGACTGTAGACCAGAAAAAAATGCTTATTTCTCTAGGATTACCAGATTACTAGGTGGTTCCTCTAGCTTGGAGGTGTCACCAAGATTAAGCCGGCCTACACCCTGCATCAAAACTGCTTCCATAAAGAAAAAAGGATGGGTCATTGTCATCAGAGACTCCCTTCTGAAGGGAACAGAAGGCCCAATATGCAGACCGGACCCACTTCTTAGGGAAGTCTGCTGCCTCCCTGGGGCCCGAGTTAAAGATGTGAAAACTTCCTACCCTGGTACGGCCCTCCGATTACTATCCATCATTAATTTTTCAGGTAGGCAGCGATG